TCTAAGTGGAAGTATTTGTGTCATGCTTTTGGTTTGACTTTCTTTTTTTGTATCATAATTAATTAAATTAGTTTTTAGGTGTCTGTTGTACATTCAGTCAATTGGCCAATAAGTACCTACTGATCTTTTCATCTATGCACTCAATTAGAGAAGAATTGAAAGGATAAGCCCTTTGTTTTTCAACAAATTGTAGGAAGGTTCATTTTTCTGTCTTTTGCAACTACCGTTGTCGGTACTGTGGGTGCTAGATCACTATGGAATTTTCTAATTGAATCAGTCCTTTATTGTACACTATTCTTAATGGTTTGTACCCACTTCTGGTGCACATGGAAAAATGGAGAGACTTTCTTTTTTTTTGATAAGATAAGTGGTATTAATAACAGCATCAGGAAGATGCATAATTTACAAGATATGGCATTTGAGCTTACAAAAAAATCTCTAGCTAACTATACAAACTGTCTAAGCCAGAGCTAATGAGTTAGTAAAAACCTGAAGTTGTTCTGCATTAACAGCAGGATACAAGTTGGTCCAACTAAACAAATTTTCAGTGCACCTAGTCTTCAAAATGCCTAAAGCAGTTGACTCTCCATCAAAACATCTCTTGTTCCTCTCTAACCAAATACACCAAAAAATACAAGCAGGTATCATAATCCAGATCTTCTTGATGGCTTTGTCAACTTTCCATAGACTCCAACTCTCATATGCATCCTTAACAGTGAGGGGTGTGGTCCAATTGATGGCAGAGACAAAAAAACATGCTCCATAATTCTGAGGCCACCTCACAATGAAGAAGAAGGTGTCTGGGGGTTTCAGCCTCTTTTTTGCACATATAGCATCTGTTTGGGAATTGGATTTTTCTTTTCTTTATGTTGTCTTGGGTGAGACATGCCTCATATGGAGAGACTTTCTTTTTGTTTGTACTAAAACTGAAAATTGAGCAACTTTTACTTAAAAGTTGGTGGTAGTGTTTCTTGGGAGAAAAATTCAAGCAATATCAACCTCTAAGTAGGTATAATAGTTCAGCAATATATTTGATCTTCCCACTAGAATTGATCTCATCCGGTCTTCCATGGGAGCAAATATGCTACAGTTTTTAGTGGATATATTTGTTTTAAGAAATGTGCATTGGAAAAGAAAGAGATTTGTCCATTAATCTTTTGATAAGGAGAAATAAAGTATGCATTCTTCATATTTACTCCATCTATGACCCACTTTAGGAATATAAGTTGTCTTTGATGGTCAATTTAGCCAATTTTGTGTGTGATATTTAATCTCAGAATTCTGATTGCCAAAGTCACGTAAAGTAAATATGAGATAGAGAGAGTATAAAAGAGCTAGACATAAAGAACAAGAAGTTATTCGAGATCAAACTCAAGCGTTCACGGCTTTTTTAGACCTGAGGCAAAATTTTAAGGATTGTGGATAATTTTCTGAAGTTAACATTAAAGAAGTGTCACTTAAACTGCCATGAGCACTAGTATAACCTCTATACAGAGATCCTGTGTTCCAGTGTCATGTGGATAACATGACTCATTTATGTTTCTAGTTCTTCGGTCCCTGTTCTTTCTCCTTCTTTAGTTTCATGTTGTGTCCATTCTGTGGTTCATCAAAGATCATTGTTTGTGTGCGTAGTATTTGTATCGAAGATTATAATCGTTAGTGTTACAATTGTTTTTGGTCATTCACATGTAATATTGCTGATTATAATCCTTCTAAGGATATATTTAGAAAATTTGAATCTCTTTAATTAAATTTTAACTATTGAGACATGCTAAAATGCTTGAGTAATTTACTTGCATCAAATACTGCAAGCTAAGTTGCACGGACTCTCCAAAAATGTTGCGGCATCCGTGTTGGATCCTTTAAAAATGCACTACTTTTGAAGGGTTTGACACACACCCGATGACATTTTTAAAGAGTCCGAGCAACGTAGACTGCAAGTGCCTACGAGCTGACTTTTTCAAGATAGATTGCAGAATGGAAGATGGCATATTCTTTTGGGGCCCTGTAACATCTAAAGAGTGGTGTGAGCCAAATTATGTGCAGTCATCCTATATTGCAGAATTCTTCAACACCATTTCAAATATCCCATGCATTCTCTTGGCTATTATTGGTCTTGTGAATGCCCTTAGACAACGGTTTGAGAAAAGATTCAGTGTCCTTCATATGTCAAACATAATACTTGCCTTGGGGAGTATGACATATCATGCCACTTTGCGCCAGATGTAAGCATTCTCTCCATTCTTTCTGTTGGATTCTCTGTAAAATTTGTTTGGTGTATAATAGACATGTATGTATGTATGCGTTCTTTTAATCATGATTTGTTTGCTAAAGTATGAGGAAATAGAGTGTAAATCTCTGTAGAGCTATATATGAACAGGAAGACGCTAAACTGAAGATATTATATTATGCGTGCTAATGTGATTACAACTTTCCCATACCTTATGCAAATGAGCACTTGTATCTTGACCTATCAGCCAATCTATGTTGCTCAGACTCTTCACAAATGTTGCCGTACTGTGTCGGATCCTCCAAAAATGCGCTACTTCTGAAGGACCCGAGACACACCTTTTGATATTTTGAAGAGTCTGGGCAACTTAGCAGTAATCTCCTGCTGGAATGAGGTCACCGCCTTCTGTGTGCCATCCCCCTTCTTGTATGATTTTTCTATGGTCATTTTTTTTTTTTATAGACTGAACCTGTTAGAGAATACACAGGTAGAAGATTTGGAATTTTTCTTATTTTCTTGTATATTGGTATCTAAAGTATTAGCTTGTAAAGTTTGAGTGAGTGGTAGTCACAACGTCATCTAATCTGTTTCGCCACTACCTTTCTTTTGAAAAATTGATTGGCATATTTCTTGTAGATGGGCACCAAATGCATATTTTTTTCACTTTATTGGTAGGATGATCCTATCTATTGTACAAGCCACACAACTCAATATTCTAAATCTCCTAATTACTGATTCTTGAAAACTATAGAAGTGCCAAAGCTAATTCTGTTTTTCTAAAAGAGAGTGGGAAAGAGGAGCACAAGGATGCATGGTTTGATCTTGTCAAGAAGTTTCTAGCGCATTAAGTAATAATCTCGATGGTAGAAATAGTGATAGACCAACTGATTTGTGTTGTTTTAGGAAAGTCTACGTCAATATGCCATAACAATAGCTTAGTATTTCTATATAATTCTAATAAAGCAAAATCTCAGTCAGCCACATATACAAATTCCCTCCCAACTTTTGACTTCGATGTAATTAGTTGGGAGGGGAAGGTTCACTTGTAAAGATATCGACAGTATTGATTCTGTGAAAGTATCTTGTTATTTATGTCGTGTTCCCAGATGGAAAATATTTGTAATGGGGCTGCATTACAACATAAAGCTTACTGTGAATCATATACCAAGTGCCACCTTCAGTGTGCCTCTTGCTTTTTTGCTAGACACAGTCCTTCATACTTTCAAATAAGGGTTTCTCTATGCATGCTAGGAGACAACAGTGTTGAAACTAATCTCCCTTGAAAATACTGCCTGCTTTTATGTGTCCCGTTATTGTTTTGTACTATGATTCATGTATTAAATTGGCAGGCAACAGCAAGGTGATGAGACACCAATGGTCTGGGAGATGCTTCTGTATATCTATATCCTATATTCACCAGATTGGCATTATCGGAGTACAATGCCCACCTTTCTGTTCCTTTATGGTGCACTCTTTGCCATTGTGCATTCACAGCTTCGCTTTGGCATTGGTTTCAAAGTACACTATGCACTATTGTGCCTTCTTTGCGCTCCTCGTGCATATAAGTATTACATTCATACAGAAGACACATTGGCAAAGCGCCTCGCAAAGTTATACGTGGCAACTTTATTGATCGGAGCTGCTTGCTGGCTATGTGATCGATTATTCTGCAAGCAAATCCAGGGCTGGTACGTTAATCCACAGGGCCATGCAGTTTGGCATGTCTTAATGGGCTTCAACTCGTACTTTGCAAATACATTCTTGATGTATTGCCGTGCTCAGCAACGTGAATGGAATCCCAAAATCAAGCACTTGTTTGGATTTTTCCCATATGTGAAGATCGAGAAACCAAAAACCCAGTAGCAGAAGTCACTTCTCTTTTGAGCTGAGCCTGTAATACCAAACATGTGCAGGATATGGCTCTGGTGAGCACAAAGCAAGCACTTGCAATTTTTTCTCTTTTCCCATTTTTGCAGAATGTATTGTAAATGAAAGTCTGGAATAGTTTTGACTCGACCGAATAGTGGTTAATTTTTTACTGTACAATTAGTGGTTTTCCAGTGTACCATATTTTACACTCCCACAGAAGATGACATGGATTAACTAGTTGATTCTTTTTCTGATAAGTTTTTGTCTACTGTTAAAATTTGCAAATATGTTTTGCTGCTACATGAACACGCTACATGGTAGTTTGTATGATTTATGTAGCTCATTGATACAGCTTATGACTGCGTCTTCCCCTTTTCTCACCCGTGTGTACCTATGGTCATTGAAACTTCTTTTACACTATTGTCACCAATCAGTTGATTTGAATCACTTGCAAATTCATCTGGGAAGTCATCGTTGACACTATAAATGATGTAGAAGTCGAAATTAAAGAGTGAAATTTAATATCTTCTGCTTCTTCAGTCCATAATTGTTATAAGAGGACACTATGAACTTACAGGACCAAGAACTCTGGCTTTAGTTGTATGTACAAGGCATCTCAACTCCTGCTACATTAGTTACTAATAACAGTCTAAGGTTAAGAAGATGTCAGTCAACCTATATCCATCCTTATTTAATACAACTTTTTCTTAATCGAGATTGGCTTGGTCCTGAGTCAATGCTAATGAAACTACATATTGAGAAAGCCAGTTATATCAAAAAGATTTAGCTTTAGAGATAACTTCCATTCATAAATTTGGGTTGATCCAAGATAAAGTAATTGACCTGATTTCATGAATGATGCAAGCATTTCTCATCATATTCTATCATCATCTAATTCTGAAAGATGAATTAGACTTGTATACAATCTAAAAAGTTTATCACTTTGGTATTATAAGAGCTAACTGTAGTTTACCAAGACAACAGAGTCTGGCTGGGTTCTTGTAAACAGTCACTGTTGCTGCATTATGAGGTGATAATACAACATGTGCAATGCTAAAAAGTTCACCTTTTTCAAGTGCAAACTGCCATTCCCTCAAAGTAATATGGAACCAATCCTTTGTCACTGATCTAGTTGCCTTTACTTCTATATACTCATTACCTGCCACAAGAAGGTCGTAAGGAAGCCCCGTCTCATTAGTTTCATTAACCCATTTCACAAAAGGCTTGCCAAATTTCCCCACAAAGTAATTGAATGCAGCAGATTCTCCGAGTCTACCAGTAAACAATGCCTGTTGAGGATCAACCATGCCAAAAGACAACTGAGCTCTTTCTCTCGCATCACATGAATTATAGTTCAGGTCTTGTGGTGCTGTCACATTAGTAAATGCTGCATTCACAGTAGACGGCACCAGCACATTATGTACATGATCAGAGAATCTGCCAGTTGACAATGGCTGTTGAGGATAAACCATGCCAGAAGACAACTGAACTCTTTCTCTGGCATCAAATGAATTATAGTTCAGGTCTTGTGGTGCTGTCACGTTATTAATTGCTGCATTCACAGTAGACGGCACCAACACATTATGTACATAACTGGAGAATCTGCCAGTTAACGATGCCTGTTGAGGATAACCCATGCCTACTGAAGGCTGACCTCTTTCTCTCATATCAAATGAACTATCATTCAGATCTTGTGGTATAGTCACATTATAAGCAGAACTACTTGCAGCGTTGATAGTAGAAGATATGAGCCTATTACATACATGATCAGTATCTCGTGAACCTAGTAAAGTTGCACCAGATGCTGGATTATTGCGACCACGAGTGATCTCAGTTGAAGCCGGCTTTCTTGGTTGGATGCCACTAGCTGCCTGTGTTTTCATAACACTACCTCGGAAACCATGATCAGTTTTCCTGTCAACAGTGGGTGCTGGATCATTCCGACCACAAGTGATCTCAGTTGGAGCCAGAGCAGATGTTTCTGCCATAACTCCTTCAACAGTCTCCTCCTTTCTTGGTTGGATATCACTGGATGCCTGTGTTTTCATAAAACTAGCATGAGAACCATAGAAACCATGACCAGTTTTCCCATCAGCGGGTACTGGATCATTGTGAACACAAGTGATCTGAGTTGGAACCAGTGCAGATGTTTCTTCTATAACTTCTTCAATAGTCTCCTCCCTCCTTGGTTGGATATAACTGTCTGCATGTGTCCTCATAACACTTGCACAAGAACCATGGAAACTATGTTCAGTTTTCCAGTCTGCACAGGCTGCTGGATCGTTGCTAACGCAAGTGATCTGAGTTGGAACCTGAGTAGATGTTTCTTCTATAACTTCTTTGCTAGTCTCTTCCTTCCTTGGTTGGATGCTACTGGCTGCCTGTGTCTTCATAACACTTGCACGAGAATCATGGCCACCATGATCAGTTTTCCTAGTTGAGCAATATGAGTTGCCTCCAGGTTTGTTCTTGGAATTCACAGTGTTTGTCTCACTAATTGTTTTAGAAGCACAACTAGTCCTCAGCCATGTCACACTATCAGTTGACAATGGAATGTTAGCAAGTGACCAAACAGATTCACCTACAGGAAGCTTGGGCATTTTCTGGCAATTCAAAATGAAAAACTCAATTTGCTCCTCAGTGGAACCTGACTTTGCCATTGTCGTGATCATATGAAGAAAGTTCGCTAAGTGCAAGTCAGGAGCTCTAGAATAGAACAAACGAGAAATCTCCATGAATATTGAATGAAAATCTGATCCTCGAGTGGCATACAAGATGTTTCCCTGTGAAAAGAGTGAAAATGAACAAGTTATCTATATATTTGTTTTACCATTTAACAAGGGATAAGATTTTACTGACAACTAAATAGACAGAAACCAGATACAAAAAGCATATACCAAAATAAGTGTTATATATGCACTCGTAATCATGTTAGATCTCCACGAGCCGGGCAAAAGAAAAATGGCAAATAGGACAGTTCCCACGAACTGAAAAAAGAGTTATCTATTACTCCCTCCATTTCAATTTGTTTGGCTGATTTTGACTTGGCACGGAGTTTAAGAAATAAAGAATTTTGAATTTTGTGATCTTAAACAAAAGATATGTAGGATGTACTAAAATGTCCTTTAATTTTGTGGTCTTAAACATACCACATGGAAAGTTGGAGTTAAAGAGTTGCCAAAAAAGGAAAGATACAACCTTTTTGAAATGGACTAAAAAGTAAAGTACGACGCACAAATTGGAACAGAGAAGTATTTTTTTCCTCTTTTAATGAGGAACAAGAAGTAGTAATCATTTTACTTGAAAGTCAACTATTTTTCCTTTTGACGATGGTGTCAAGGCCATCTTTCACACCAGAACCTGCCCACCATTAGAGTGAGCTCAAGAAGAAATAAACAAGAGTATATTAGAAGTATGTGTTACAGTCTTGGAATATGCAGAAAGCAGTCTCCAATTTCATATATTTCAAAACTGACCCTTAGTCCCCAAAAAACATAAGTAGTGATGATTAAAAAAAAATCATCATAGTAAGTTACCAGTTTCAAATAAAAATAAAAATCATCATAGTAATCCTTTTATCTTAAAAGGTCCAACTAATTCTTTTTTGGACGGAGGTGTCGAGAACAGCTTGCAAACAGCTCAGCTAATTCATAGAGCAACTTGCTAGAACTCACAAGCCAAGAAGTTGTGTAACCAGGCTAGAGAAGATGGGTGCACAATGAGTGTAATAGCGAAGATTTGAACCTAGGATCACCAAGTTGATACTTCCCTAAGCTTTAGCCACTCAGTCATCCCAACGAGGACATATTTTAATGAATATTCAAATACAATACAAGCTTTTCAAATAAGAGAAATCTCAAGTATGAAACATTCCATTGATAAAAGTATCCATAGATGCTGGCATGATTAAAATACCTCTAGCAGACAATTGCACTCAAACTGCTTCTCTGATTCTATGTGGACACTTCTAATAACATTCCTGTAGAACAGCTTTTCAACGACAACGATCTGTAGGCATCTCAAGTTCTCAAATACAGACTGGCTGAGCTGCAAATACTTGTCTGTGTAATTGTTATACATATATTGTTGAGCATATGGGAGGGCCCAGTTAACCAGTGAAGCTATAAAACAAGTGTCTGTTGGATCATCATATATGATTTCACGTGTTACAACCTGCAAAAGAGAGGTTAACGTTGAGAAAGATTGGGCCTAATGGTACCTTTTTGATAGTAGGATGGTATGAAAGTATTGAATAGTATGGGAAAATATCCGTTCTATGGAAGTGGACACAATTGGAACAACCCAAAATAGTAAATAAGACAATCAATATGAAACAAAGGAAGTAAATGAGTTCCTATATAAATGTTCCAAAGTGGAAAGGAAACCATATTGATTAGAATACTTGATACACACTTGAACTAGAAAAAAATTATTGTCAGATTTGAGAAGTTGATAAATATCAAGATCTAAATTGTGTTGAAGGACTTTCTTTTCCTTCATACAACATCATGTTCTGACTTCTGCCTATTCATTTTCTTGATCAAATTGTCAGTTGCGATTTCAAATGAAAGAAATCATCATACCAGAATTTTAAGAATTCATTCATACCTCCAACAAAAGATAATTAGGTTGAAAAAGGGAAAAAATGGAAATCAATTAAGCAGATGAACTAGTATTACTCTTTTGGAACCCATTGCCAATTTGCCAGTCATTAGATCAGATAAGTTGTAATAGTAGAGTGGTTAATCTTATTTGCTCAAATATTTGAGTTGTATTAGACCTGACAACTTCAAGGATAAAAGAGCCACTTGGAGGCTTATTTCCCTGACATCCAACCATGAACCAACTTCAAATCATTATAATTACCATTATCAGCTTAAGCATTACATATCAGGAATTTCCAAGAAGTTACAATTCGTAACTACTTTGTCCACCCAAAGCATTACATAATTCCATCTACAAGAATTAAATTAATGAGTCTTCGGCTTTATTTTGGGCATCGATCAGCTAACTTTTGAACAATGTTTTTGGAAGTGAAAAGCACAGAGAAACAACAAGGTCCCTGGGGCTTGAAGAGCCACAAGTATAGGAAAATTTAAAAAACAATAAAAAGGTATGAAGTTAAAAACTATAAAAATCAATTTATGCTTAAAGCAACTAATCTCAACATCCAATATACAATAATGTTGCATTAATCCAATTTCTCAAAGTTGAGATTGAAAGAGCTGACTGCTTTTAGTTAGGATTATTTGTGAGTAATTATTTGAAGCAATTAAAAGGTCATATTAAAAACAATTACATAAAATACAAAATTGATGACACAAGCAATAAAAAAGTTCTTCAATTTATTTGGGATGGTCATAGTGAAAAAACTTCTATTGACCAAATAGATAGTAAAGTTCAAGTTAATCTGGAAGAAAGACAGGAAATTGTAAACCAAGTGCAATGAAAAATGGAGCAGACTGGCACATTTATGTAGGAGAGTCCACTGGGAACATATGTCATCTCTCTCAGAAATATCTAGTCTTAATCCGATATGCATGTGGACAAGAATGAAAAGAGAGGAAGGGTGTAAGTTTGCTTACCTCTGAAAGAGAAGGAATATTAACTCTATGCATGAAGATCGAAACTTTTGTTCGGAGAATTTCCTTATTCTCATCATTGAGTTCCCCAAAGTAGAGAAAGTTAATATTATCAAAATGCTCAAATTCCGTTCTTAACTTATCATCATCACACCAACAGATGAGCCCAAAGGATTGGTTGAGAGATACCCATTTATTTTTTGCAGTGGGAAGAATCAGGTACTGCTTTTCCTTAAGACTCTTTTCCAAGAAATCAACATCTTCATATCTCAAAGAGCCAGATTTTAGCTCATCAGCCCACTTGAGAAATATATGGAAAACCTGAAAAACAAATGTGCAATCATTTTTAACGTCAGAGCTAACCAAAACCTGGCATTGTTAGCAGAAAATTCATTTTACCAACTATGACAAATTAAGTTTATAAGAAAAAAAAAAGATGGCTTACCTTCTTAGCTTCTTGTAAAGGTAAAGCAACCGCAGACAAATGCAGCAATATTTGAAGGTATCCATGGAAATGAGGGAACTCATCCACTCCACATCTATTAACAAAAAAGTCATGAAGGCCTGGGTACAAGCTACACAATATTCTGGTAACAGGATGTTGTTGGACAAATTTTGTATTGACCATCTTCACTTGGTCCACAGAACCAGTTGAATCGCACCAAAAGACTTCTTTAAGTGACAACAGAACACCAGGTACAGCATCTTCAAGTGAAGCACCAAACTTCAAAGGAATAAACACACAAGGCGCATCACATAATTCTTCAACCACTTTTCTCTCAGAAGTATTCATCGTATTCCACATGAATGTGTAAAATCTGGACATTTGTGACACACTGAAAAAAGTATTCAATGGATGAGTGTTTTAAAAAAAAATAGAATTCAATGGATGAGTGTTCAAGTTCAAAATAATTATGTGAAGAAGATCTCATGATGAAGGGCATGCTTAAAATTTTAGAATTTTCTATTTCGTTTAGTCATTCAGGACCCTAAAATTGTTGAAAGGAAACATGTTATGGCTTGACTATTGCTGATTAAACATTGAAAGAGGCAATCACTAGACAATTCATTTGTTCCAGCTTTCCTTCTTTTCTTGTAGAAAGAGAATAGTTACCTCTACGAGACAGGCATACATTTAAGGGAAACAGGAACACACAGAAAGAATATCATTCTGAGCTCAATGTCAGCCTCCCATGCAGACAGGTACGACCAAAGCAACAATATCAATAATGCTTTCTCACTAAAAATTCTGTAGCCATGCTTCGGTTTATTTAGAAAAACGGAGTCCATTTTTTTTAGGGTTTCAGTAGGACTAACAAATATCTGACCATTTTGGGGAAAACAATATAAACAGGAGTCAAAAGGCCATCTTAACGAGTTTGACTAGGCTTCAATGTACTAAATGAAGGTAGTTATTATACACTCTTTTGAAACTAGGTAGTTATTAACTACCCAATAAATAATAGATAGTTATTATACACTATGATCTTCACTTAAAAAGAAAAGAAAAAGAAAAAGAAATGACTATCGATTAATCAGATATAGCAGACCATTACCACCAACCTTAGTATGTGATATATGTGACCAATTCATGCAGCATACACTATTTGTATTTTAGTTGACTAATTCTTATTTAAATCCATAGGAAAAGAAATAGCTGAAACGATAAAACAATGTTTTTTTTCAGTAAATGAAAGCATAAACCATCTTGCTGTATTCACATCGCTTTCTGCTGAAGGAAGATCAAATACCTAGCTCTCAAGGGTGCTTTGGCTCTCCAAACTTTAAGAATTGATAGCGCGTCATCGGCTGTTACTTGGGTTTTCAAACCAAGAGCTGTTAACAATCTTTCACTTCTCACCTGTCCCACAAAGAGAAGCATTAGCTCTAACTAAGAGCGATGACAGGGAAAGTCAAACCAAATTCAAGCTAAAAACACAAGCAAAAATATGTTTTTGGTGCTACCCTGTACCAGGAAGAAGTTAAAGTAATATCATTAAGGTACTATCACATATCAATGGAACATAAATAAAAACAAGCATTTCACAAATGTGAACTAACACAAAATAAGGGATCTTCTCAACAAGCAAATATTGGCTAAAAACAGAACAATAATTGAGCATAATAGAAAAATCAGAAACGAAATCTAGCTTGTCCTGGAAGTCAAATTTACTCAAGCTGGCTTCTAAGTCATACAGTTCTCTAACCAAAACCAGGGAAAAGGTAGTGCTAGTGAAGACAATACGGTGAAACTAAACTAGAAAAAATCATTAAAATAAAGCTAGACCATTTTTCTTTTCTTTTGAGATAACCTCGAAATCAACAGTTTTCTAGCTTCGGAACCCAGTGGATGATGGACCTAACCAAACCTTCTCCACTTAAATACCAGACTGGTTCACCAGCAAGATTCAAGATCGTAACATGTGCCTAAGCTACCACACATCCCACACTGTTCTACCATTGAACCAAGCCTTGGATGGCATAAAATAAATCATGTTTAGGCTGTCCACTAAGTTAATTCTCTACAATAGAAATAATATTGCACAAATTAGAAGAGTTAGTTCATTATACCAGTATATGTGAAAAATCAACCACATCATATTTTTGGTAGGGGCTAAGCTGTTGTTAGTAGATATGCATATAAACAATCATTGACATGAAAATTAGCAGGTCAAAGCTCCTCGTAAGAATGTTTCACTGACAAGACAATTACCAGGTTAAGCAACTTCTTCAGATAAAACTATAGACTATCTTGTCAATCATCCAAAAATAGGCCTGAGGTTTAACTTTTTTACTTTTTTTTCTTGGTTATTTTCTTTTGGTAGAGTGCTAGACCAACAAAAACCTCAAAAGTGTGATGAGTACTAAAAATACAATTAAACGAGACTGATTTAAGACATTCTATTTAGGACTCAAGATCTCTACCGCAAATTCAGTCAATATCACTAACCTTGGGAACAGTATAAGGAGCATTACCACCAAAAATTGAGCGCATAGCCTCACAATCATGGAATAACTCCCTTGGCAAGTGGAGCTCATTATCGAGACTTGATGCTATCCATCGAACATCACAAAGGATTCTGCTGAATGATGAATCAAAAATTTTCCTTTCTCCATTGGAAGTGAAATAGAAGCCGGTAACCTTATCACTGAAATAATCATCCCACAATCTATCAAGTACCTCCAAGAGATAGTTGCATTTTCCCGTGTCATGAGTAGAAGACAGTAGTAATAGCATATTGACAAATTCTTCGGACATCCAATCTTTTGCAATTGACCCTACGGGAATCAAATCTTTATCCCATGTCACATTTATGGGAAGAGGGCATACATCAGACATACTTTTCTCAACTTGAAGAACCTGTACAAAATCACTGATTCCCATTTCCTGGAAAAACTTTCGCCACTTTAATACACTTCCAGATAACATTCTGTTGACTGGATGCTTTAAGTATGTATCCTCAATTTCATGCCATGTAAGATCTAATCCTTGAATTAATCGACCCATGTCTATGGGATTTCCATATTCTTTGCTGAAATGGATGGGAACCTCTCCAGGACGCCTGCAGCCATGATTAGTCAAAATAAAGACATTGTCACGCAGTTCCCTGATAATCTGCTCTTTTTCTGATTGGCAGTCGCAGCAACTTGACTGTAAGTGGATCATCAAGAAAGCAAGATACTCTGTCATAATTTCTTTATGTCCTTGTTCATTTTGTTCTCTGTAAAGATAAGGTAGAATATGTATCTTTACTATTTGATGCGCCGATAACCGCTGGACACCAACTCTGTACAGCATCATAGAAACATTATCTACTACTGATGAACCACAGCATGATGTGCCAAGAGCAGCAGCAGCAGAAAGAAGTGCAGAACTCACAGTTCTAACACTAGCATACAATCTTGGGAAAGTTTCTGGTGCATACACATCATTAATTGTGGCACCCAGTGAATGAAAATGCAACCAAATTGCACCTTCATCCAAAGATCCATATTTACCGTCTGAAAGGGGAATAAATGGAATTTTCTTAAGGTCCCTCATGAGATCTGATTCCGTCCCAAAACCTGCTAAGTCTTTCCCATCTGACAACAATGTATAAACCGTGTTTAAGAATGCAGACAACCAACCCAAACCCATTGACCTTAGACCATCTTTTGAAGAGCATAGAGAAGTTATAACCTGAAATAGAACCTTCAATCCATACTCCTCAACCCCAAGAGCCCGAGCTAATAAATCTGGTAAAATTATATCCTTATGCATGAATCCAACACCAAGATGCTTGCGAAGCAGGCTATCAGGCAAGAGCTTACGAGACTCTTCCGTCCAATTGCGCAAAACTTTACATGGAGCAATCCATTCAGCTCCTGCACCTTCTACTATCAAACAGTTTGACATGCGTAATCTAGATAGAATCATCTGAGGAAGACTAGAAAAGAAACCATGACCTTCTCCTACAAGGGGAACAAAGCTCATATAAACTGTAACACCCTTTGCTGGATTATCCCTAAAACACGGCATATTACAAAATGATCCCTCAGTACTAACAAACAAGCCAGGAAACTCTGACAACAACCATTGGTTCCAAGCATTATCACCATCAGCTTCTCTAGATGAAGGCAGTATAAAATCACCCTGAAGTTTGTACTTCAGACCATACTTTCTGAGAGGAAAAAATGCAAAATACAGGCTATTGCTGTGGAGTTCTGGACATTGACATACGCAAGAGTCACACTGGCAAAAAGCACTGACACGCACTTCATTGATAATTTGCTCCTTTTCTAATTGACAGTCAGGGCAACTCGATTGCCAGTGGAACATCAAGAAGGCAACATACTCTGTCATTAAGTCTCTATATCTTTCTCCATTTTTCCCACTGTAGAGAGATGGCAGAATATGCTTCTTTACTATTTGATGTGTCGATAACCGTTGGACACCAGCTCTATACAGCATCTTAATAACATTATCTACTTCTGATGATTCACGGTTTGATGTGCCAAGAGTAGCAGCAGTGGAAAGAAGTGCAGGACTCACGATTCTGAGACTAGAATGCAATCTTGGGAAAGTTTCTGGCACATAGTCACCATCAATCATATAGCCCATCGAATCAAACTGCAACCAAATTGCACCTTCATCCAGTGATCCATAATTACCATCTGAAAGGGGAATAAATGGAATTTTCTTAAGGTCCTTCATGAGGTCTGATTCTGTCTCAAAACCTGCTGAGTCTTTTCCATTTGACAACAATGTATAAACCGTGTTTAACCATGCAGATATCCATCCCAAACCCATCAACTTTAGACCATCTTCTGAAGAGCATAGAGAAGTTATAACCTGAATTAGAGCCTTCAGTCCGTACTCCACAATTCCAAGAGCCCTGGCTAATAAATCTGATAAAACAATATCTTTGTGCAAGAATCCAACCCCAAGATGCTTCTGAAGTAAGCTATCAGGCAAAAGGTTACGGGACTCTTCTGTCCAATTTCGCAGAACTTTGCATGGAGCAACCCATTCGTTTTCTGTACCTTCTAGTATCAAGCAGTTTGACATGCGTAATCTAGAGAGAATCATCCTCGGAAGACTAGAAAAGAAACCATGGTCCTCCCCTACAACGGGAACAAAGCTCATATATGCTGTAACACCCTTTGCTGGATTATTCCTAAAACATGAAAGATCACAAAATAACCTTTCCGTACTAGCAAATAAGCCAGGGAACTCTGACAACAGCCACTGGTTCCAAGCAATATCATCAGCAACTTCATCTCCAGATGAAGGGACTACAAAATCCCCCTGAAGTTTATACTTCAGACCATACTTCCTCAGTGGAAGAAATGCAAGAAACAGGCTGTTGCTATGGAGTTCTGGACATTGACATATGCAAGAGTCACACTGGCAAAAAGCACTGTCACGCACTTCTCTGATAATTTGCTCCTTTTCTGATTGGCAGTCAGGGCAATTCGATTGCAAATGCAACATAAAGAAGGCAAGATCCTCTGTCATTATTTCACTATGGCTTCGTCCATTCTGCTCTCTGTAGAGAGATGGCACAATATGTTTTTTTGCTATTTGATGTGCCGATAAAGGCTCAACACCAGCTCTATACAGAATTCTAGTAACGTTATCTAATATTGATGATTCACAATGTGATGTGCCAAGAGCAGCGGCAGCAGAAAGAAGTGCAGAACTCACTGTTCTAAGACTAGCGTACAGTCCTGGGAAAGTTTCTGCTGCATACTTATCATCAATTGTAGATCCTAGTGGATCAAGATGCAACCAAATTACTCCTTCATCCAGTGATCCATACTTGCCATCCGAAAGGGGAATAAATGGAATTTTCCTGAGGTCATTCATGAGATCTGTTGCTGTCCGAAAACCTGCTGAGCTTTCACTATTTGATAACAAATTATATACAGTATTTAACCACACACATAACCATCCCAAACCCATTGACTTTAGACCATCTTCTGAAGAGCATAAAGAAGTCATAACCTGAAATAGAACCTTCAGTCCATACTTCTCAATCCCTAGGACCCTGGCTAACAAATCTGGCAAAATTATATCTTTATGCAAGAACCCTAAACCAAGATGCTTACGAAGCAAGCTATCAGGCAAGAGCTTACGAGATTCTTCCGTCCAATTGCTCAAAACTCTGCATGGAGCAACCCATTCATTTTCTGTACCTTCTAGTAACAAGCAGTTCGATGTGCGTAATCTAGAAAGAATCATCCGAGGAAGACTACAAAAGAAACCATGAACGTCTCCTACAAGGGGAACGAAGCTCATATAAGCTGTAACGCCTTTTGCTGGATTATCCCTAAAACATGGTAGATCACAAAATGACCTCTCAGCACTAACAAACAAGCTAGGGAACTCTGACAACAACCACTGGTTCCAAGGACTATCACCATCAACTCCTTCCCTGGACGAAGGGAGTACAAAGTCTCCCTGAAGTATAAACTTCAAGCCATACTTTCTCAGAGGAAGGAATGAAAAAACATGTTGTTGGTCCAGAAGTGGGTTGTAGCTTCCATCAGCTGTTTCCTGCAATGTAAATGCTATGGAAATTTCTGTTGTTGGCGTATCAGGACGAATAGTGTCAGCCTGTAATTTCTGGGATACAACATAACAAGTCATTTTCTCCTCTCCATAGGAAACATTAACAATACCATTTCCCACAACTTCTTTCCTCATAACAATAATAGAATCGCTTAACATATTTCGAAATTTGATACAGTGAAGACGGTGAAGAAAAAGCAGTAATGATGGATGAAGATCAGCAAACATTGATATAATATTTTTTCTGCTGGACCTTTCCAAGAGACTTGATCTCAAGGGAAGCACTATGCATGTCTTCCAATGATTGCAATCAGGATCTGTCGATGCCAATCTGGTATAGAAGTCAATGTCACACGGAGGAACAACAGTTGGCAAAACAAAACCTATCTGCCCATTAGTGATATCAAACTTAATATGAAAGCCATTGGAGTGAATCTCCGGAGCATCAGTTACCTATAAAAACAAAACAAAAAGTTCAGCGAAAGACAGTTTGTAAACAGTAACTTGAGTTCAGACACTTAGAACAGACACATTGTTCATCATGTTTTTACCACTTATTCCTGAAAGCTACAAATGAAAAGGTTTGATTTGTGTACTTTGTCTACTCAGTAACTATTTGCAACTCTTACCAAAATAGAATAAAAAGAGTAGGCCACAGTTCTAGTGTTAAGTAGTCCTCTCAGCATTTCTTCTATGCATCACTTACTGCCAAAACTTTTTGATATTTCACACAAATTCTGCAAGGAACTAAATAAAATTCAGCAACGGTGTTTGTGTGTATTACCCGGAATACTGATTTGAAACCAATGCCTTTCTTGCCAATGTATCCAGCATTGTGTCCTTTCTTAGTAGAGTTTCCAACATCACAGAGTGCTCTGATGTCATCAGCAGAAAAACCACGTTCATTGTTTAGAACTACAATGCCTTTATCCTGAAGAATGAAAGTCAAACTGGGCTCGACAGTCTCAGGGTAGGTATTATCATCAGCATTCTGCACCTGAATTAACATGCCATTGTAAAGGAAGCAATCAGTTCTATTCATGCTTTTGACTGCTAAAATGCACAGTGCACTCCATCTTATTAAACTCTATAATAAAGAAGCTATTAGTATTCCTAATAAGAGAAATTCTAGCGATAACAAAATTGCAGAACTAAAAGTTCTAACTCTAGAGCAAACAAAAGATTATAGCAAGTAATAAGGTAACAACATTCAAGAATACTCCATGACATCTCAAAGGAATATCTAATCACCTCACAGAGAAGTGATTACACTAAGGTAAGTTCAACATTAGCAATAAAGAAGCATTTTATTAAACTCAAGGTACAAAGCCAACGAGTTAATAAGGTTAATCAGGACAATACAGTGGATTCATTATTTAAGAAAAAAATGCACCCAAAGACCTGTTATAATGTGTACTAAGCCACATAATTGCTCTAAGACATAGTTGCAATTGCACCCAACTGCCTGTTATGCAAAAATTGAAAATTTTATATTCAGCACACTAACATTTTTCAAGTATCCACATCCCTGTTAATCAAATAACAGAATTTATCTTCCAGCAGCAAGTTTTTCCAATATTTAATGAGGGTTAAGAACAGTAGTATATGCCTATGAGTAGATTATTCCAAATTGTATAGATAGTCAACAAAGTTAGTTAGATACCTATGAATGACTTAACTTGAGTCATATGAACAACTTGTACATTCTTCGACACCGACTTGGTGTCTAATAATGAAATTCTTAAGACTTTTCAGGGGAAAAAAACCATTCAAACCTTCCATCAGAGTTGGGTGGGATTAAGTTCTTATACCTATATGGACAACATTGTGTTATTCAATAGGAACCTATCTTCTCCCTTTAAGCAATGGTAGGTGCCGTATCAGAACTGACCTTTTTCCACCACCTTGCTAACCTTTCTAGTGTTCCAACTTTTGCCTACCTTCTTCCTGTTCCATCTAAAAACTTTCCAGGTGGTTCCATTTTGCTAAATAATTTATCATTTTAGTTATTTTTCGGTCCATCTGTTAACTACAGGTTAGTGTAGGTCTAATTCATGTAGTTGTCCTCCAATTCCAACTTGCTTCCTCCAATGAAGCACCACAACAACCTTTGTATTACAATCGACATCAAACCTCCCTTTTTAACCACATTGAATTGTGAGTTTACAAATATATACCCAACACAAGAATGAGTCGGATATACAATGAATTGAGGAAGCACTGAACAGACAAGATCAAGGTGAAGTATACAGACCAGCTCAAGGATAAAATGTGAATCCTCAGAATACAACTCCTGTGAAAGACAATGAAGTGCTCTCCCCAAGCGAGCATGTTGCTTCTTCAACAATGCACTTTCAACTAGTGATTGAGCAGGCTGCAGACCGAATTCTTCTTGTTGAATAGATTCAATAACCCTGGCAGCAGAACACTCAAGCTCACATGAGTGCATTTTGGCATAACCAGCCAAATTATCAAGATGGACATTAGTTACAACAGCAGAGCAGCAGGCTTCTTGATTTTCATCTTGCTGCATTGGATGGGGTGAGAGGCTAATTCCACTTCTAGACAAGGGATATTTGTTTGACACTACATGCATAACGGTTGAGTCTTCGCTGAGATCAAGCTCTGTGACTCCCAAGCATGATGATCCAGAAGACATTAACAAGCTAGAGGCAGAACTGGAAGCCAACTTCTGTTTATCGTCAACCCAATCCATTATGCCAAGCAACATTCCAACTCGATGAAGCATAAGACGCTGCTCTACGCATTCACATTCACCTAAGATAGCTGAAGGGGCATCTTTGACAAATGGCTGCAATCCTGCAAGCAATATGTCTGCAGCAAAACAGTAAAACTCAACTGGCAGATAGCCCAGACAATCAAGTACAAATCTTGACACAAAAGACATGGCACTATCCACCCTATTACTCCTCGGTACCTTGCTGTTTATAGTGACTGTACTTCTATCATTTATAACCTGTCTAGACATAAATTTAGTATCCTTGAGGGGATCCTGTGATTTTGTTTCCTCATAATGTTCAATTAAAACTTCAAATGCATGACGTGCATGGCATTTTAGAAGTGAAAAAGGAACATTTTTTTCACCACCATATAAGACCAAAAGAGATAACAGTTTGACAGCAGTATCAAAAGGATTTCCTTGCAGCAGTACATTCAGAAAAGAATCAACAGTGGCTGAATGATCAACACGGACAACCTTCCCGCATGCAGTCACCAAATATAACAACTCTTTGGTGCTTACCTCGTTCAACAGCCAACCCGCAAGAGAACCTAGAGAAGGAGCAAACACAACATCCCAATGTGACCACAAGTTCAGATCTATCAACATTGGACTTTTTAGCAAGACTTTCTTCGCTTCTTTGGACATAACTATACGAGCTCCGTTTCCTTCACCATTCTCTAAACCCATTTTCTCTAATATATTTTTGTGAAATCTTCCTACTGCATCTTCCTTGAGCAGTGTTCCGGAGAATACAACAGATTTTAAGGTCATATCACCTTTATTTATCTTCATAAAACCCTCGACACCCATCATTAAGTCACTTCCAGCTACTTTTAAACAGACTAAAGGAAATTGTCTCATTAGTAACTCAGAGATTCTTCGCTTGCCTACTTCTTCAGTCTCCCATAAGCATTGTGAAGCCTGAGATAACAACAGATCAAACTGATAATCAAGCATTGAAGGTACCAGAGAAGGTTTCTCATGCATGTCACCTGTTAAGCAACTTGGTAAAGTATGACTAAACAGGGGCATATTTTTCTCCAGGAAGGACCAGATATCCCCATAACCAAGTGACTCAAATTGCTTGACAGAAAACTGCTCTGTCAACCAAGATTCAAGCTTGCAAAACTTATTCAAGAGGAAGAAAAACTTCTCATGGTGTGAACTTGCAGTGGACCAGGCATCATCACCACCCTCAAAATATGTAGAAATTTTACCAATTATGTCCCCAACGGTGAAACCTATGTAATCAGACAAATTAATGGAAAAGTAAGCAATCCACTGGAGGAAGGGTAAACAGGAAACTCCAAAAGAAATTTTAATGAAAAATCTGAGCATAGAAACTTTAGTCATGTTAACTTATCAAAAGAGAGAATTTAATCATGGTATTAGCAGAATTAAGAGAAAAAAAGTTCTTTTCTGAGAAAGGTAGGTAATAACAGGCTTTTTTTTGCATCTGTTTAGCTAGAGAAACATGAAGGCCACTTTGCAGAGCTATTCAAAAACACTACTTGAATCTAGCAGAGACATACATTATCCTACGTAAATCTTCAACCAATCAGAAAAGTGATATTCAGGCCAGAGTCCAGACAATTCTAATTTCAGGTACCTTAGACTTCTTTCCCCTTTTTCATTTTCAAGTAGTGGCTGAGCGCATATTACATACAAGAATTTTGATGAGAAAACCTTGACGATTAGTTACGATTCCTTATAGGTAAAACAAAAATCTTGGTGGTGTATAACTCACCACTTTCACACACCAAGAGCCTATCAGAGTGATTGGTAGCACCTCTTTCAGGTGATTCAACCTCAATGCATATGGAATTAACACAATTTTCAGCGCCTGTGCTGGTTAACTCAAATTGGTTAAACATTTGGAGCTTATCATACAAACTATCCCACATCCCATGTTGAATAGATGTAACCTGCAAAGTCACATTATACTATATAAGAAAAAGATATACAAGGGATATTCAGGCAAGAAACTAATTAGTAAAACTACAGGAAGTAGAATGCCACTAGGGGAAAACTGCCTGCATAAAAAAGAATTAAAGAGGTTATGGATTCGAAAGAGGTTTACTTAACCCTTAGAATTCTACATCTTCCATGAACAAGCAGATATCTCTCAGGCGTCTAAAGTTCATTAATTACTAACACAACTGATCAGTAAACTTACAGCAACTTGAAGCAACCCACAAAATGGAAATGATGAAAACAATGTCGTCACTTTAGCTTTCTTCTTCACTTTATAGAACTGAAGCATCCTTTCAAAAACCTAAACTAGAAAGAAAAAGTTCCTGAAGTTAGCATATGTATTGGACAGTCAACATCTGACAATGGGAGAAAACAAGATCTATTTCAATGCTTGATTCAAGTCGTTTGATATTACAAGATAGAATTTGGAGAATGCAGAGTGGTATGAATGGGTAGAAAGGAGCCGTAAGTTGATGAGGAGGTCCTCCATGAACTTGTCCTACACCGTTAGATGTAAGATGTAATACTTTCCCAAGTTAACTGGACTAGTTTCTAGTTTGGATTATCTTTAAATTGTGCCAATGCCCACTTTCCTAAAAAGAGAACTTATTCCTTCAATGTTTTTTCAAGCTTGTAGTAGGGTAGGCTTGGGTAGGGTAGATACAAATTATCAAATTAAAAGAACCACCAAAAATAGCACACATTTCTGATAAAAGGCTTCCAAAAACAACATCAGGATATCCAATGCAATGAATGTATTCCCACTGTGTCTCAAGTTAGGTGTCCCATTCTAGTTTATCAAAAATTGTAATGTATGAGTTCAAGTTTTACAGTGTTCCAAATGAAAGTAGATCTTAAAGAATAGATCAATTAATTTTTTGAAGAAGGTGAACCTTTTTTAGGGGGTGTTTGGATTGACTTCATTTTTTACTTTTTTTTGATGAAGTAAAGGATTTCATTAAAGAGCATCAGGGTGATGCTAAAGGCAAAAGTGTACAAAAAAAGAGAGACCGGTGTAGGACAAGTTCATTTCTCCGCTAGACCGGAAAAACAGCAAAAACTGCATAATTGATACCTCATCTACATTGTTTGTCCGACATGCCTCTTTCCAAGTGTTAACAAACATCTTAATTGAATCATTGCCTTGTGATGAATCGCTTGAACCATTTGAGGCTTGATTCCCCAACGGAGAAATTTTTGTTCCCTTCCTACGAGTAAAAGGCTTTGTCTGAACCACTTTTCTTTTGACTACTTCTGTGTGAGAAGCCATGAGACTCTGAATATCATCAAATTTTCGTTTTCTCTTGGATTGCCTGAGATCACGCTCGATCTTATCCAAAAGGGAGCGAAAGGTACTGTCAGATTGACTAATATCCTTACTATATATATCACTGCCACTTGTTGTGTGTAAGCTAACCTTGACTTCAGTTTCCAAACCCAGTGGCATCATTTCTTCAGATGCGTTTAGGTAAGGACATATGCTTGGTTGCTCTGAATTTTTTATGTTTCCAGTTTCATCTTGATCACCATCACTGTTCGCATCCTCTGAATCTGATGATATAAATCTTATGTGTTTACCACAAAATTCCCCATTAGCTGAAGAAAATGATGTGATGCGTTCAGAGATGGAAGTGAAATTCTCATCCAACTCCTCAACTTCAGCTTTCAAACCATATGGCTTCATTTCAACAGATGCTGATGGGTAAGGAGATATGTGTGGTTCCTCTGAACTTTTAGTGTTTTCAGTTTCATCTTGATCACTGTCACTGCTTGTATCTTCTGAATCTGATGATATGGAAATGAAATTCTTATCTAACTGCTTCTTCTGTGCAGATAGAATAGGACGTTTCCTAATAATTTTACTGGGCTCTTTTTTCACCGTATGCATATATTTGTTCTTGGCACTAGTTTCAAACAGCCTTGCTTGCTGGATAAATGTAATATGCATCCTGAAAGGGACAAGGAAGGAGTAGAGATGAGGAAATACTAATGATAAGATTCTGAGATAGCAGAAGAAGCATGAGCAACATGTGTTTAAAGTACATAGAACAAGTTAACAAAGTTTTGACGAAGACAAGAAAAAGGATAAAGCCATTCTCCACCAGGATTTACTAAATTTTATCAAGCTTCATATGTTCACACTGAAAGATCAGATATAATACAAATAGGTGGCAAAGATAACTATTTAACTTTTAAAAGATGGGATAAAGGTCTCAAAGGAGGAAGTTGCATCTTTACACTTTAGTTATATCACGTCTCAATTAGCCATCACCACAATAGGATATCACATCAAAACTTCATAAAGTCCAATAACAAACTGGGAAATATGATTCATCATGGTTTGGAAACAAATCATAGAAGAAAAAGAAGGAAACTCAGAACTTAACAACGATGCATATACATTAAGGAAATTTACATTAAAAGGAGAAATTTCAGTCATACATTTCTCAATTAATCCACAACGCAACAGTATATCACATTACAACCTCAAATAGTCCAATAGTTTAACTGGAACATTTGATTCATCATGGTTCAAGAAAATTTATAGAAGAAAAAGAAACCTCAGAACTTCAACTCCGCAAAGACACTAAGGAAATTTATTTTGGCTAAAAGGCGAATCTAATTCTGAAAGGAAATTTATGTTGGTTAAAAGGTTAATACTAAATCACGAAGATAGAAGATCAGTCCTTCCAAAATATCAAAAATAAAGGGACAACCATATAGCTGCACGCCAAACTGTCTTCCTCTCTTTATGTTGACAAGGACCTGATGATCTTTTCATTACTGCAACAAGATGTGCTAATAATCTAAAAAGTGATCCATGCGGATAGCAGACACGTGGAAGAACATGCAAAGAGAAGTAACCATAAAACAAACAAAGAACAATTGAAGAAACAAAAAAAGCATCATTATCTGCAACTCCTGGAGAAAATTGGAAGATAACCATTTCGTTTATGTCCTACCCTCATCATTGAGATAATCCTCAATCAAATTGGGCACTTTAATTCAGCAAGCCAAACAAAAACACTTTGAAGAAAAGAAGAAGGTATAAGCATTCCTACAGTATTTTAAGTAAATTATTGAGAGAGAGAGAGAGAGGGGAAACAAGAAGCAAAGAACATGACTTATTAAGTTTGAACTCAGGAGTGCAACATCAATGATGACAGGAACATGAATTTTCAAGAGTTAGCATTAAAAAAAATTGTTGTGAGAGGTTAGTAGCATCTCTCTCTCTCTATCTGAGTGCAGTATTAGCAGTAATATCACATGGGTAATTTTGTGTCTACTTGATTGAATCACCACACACACAACCCCCCCCCCCCCCCCTTTCTTGTAAAAGGTTCTATACCATGCAGAAGGTTGTACTCCTCTCTCCTATTTACATTTTCACATTTATACAACAAATATCATTGCTAGAATCTCCTAATCAGTATTTGCTAGATGCCTTCTACAGCTTTTTAGTTGGAGTAATATATGCCTGTAAATGATGTAGTTTCTTTTGTAGATTTCATTAGCTCTCTGAACTGACTTAACAGCCTCCTTTTGCTTTTGGTTAGCTTCCAATGCTTATAGAACTTTTTGTCTTTAGAGCTAACATCACTTTTGTAATCTTAGCATCTTCTTGATGCCAGCAATACAACATATTACTTCATAAAAATATTGTTAATACTTAATTGAATAATTAGAGCAGGAGCGAAAAATAATAAAGGTAATTTTGAGGAACACTTTTGACAAATTTCCAAAATGATGAAAAAATCAAGAAAGGAGAATTAATTTTTTTGAATTTTTTACTTATTCCTCAAACCCCAATTTACGATCTTCAAAGGTTTAAGCACTAATAGTTGCAACAAGCTGAATTGCGTGGTTCTTTTTCTTTTTTTGGTGTAAACATGAATATCCTCAAGATGCAGAGGATATTCCTAGTATTTTAGAGTTCTTATGACCTCCATAGGAGTTCTTTGCTTTTTGCAACTTTTGGATGTAAGTATCACTAGAATACTCCTTATGTATTCTTTTGTTTATAATACAAGTTACCTTTCTCAAAAAAATAAAAATTCAACAAATATCAAATTGACAAATTGCATGTAAATAAGATTTTGTATGGGTGAAAATATACCACATACCCCAAGCTCTGAATTCGCACACCAAGCGTCTCTCTGGATCCAGAAGACTTCTTCTCAGCAATGAAGTTCAAAAGTTCATCTACTTTCATAACTGTACTTCCATTACCATCCATAAACTCAGAAAGGAAGGACATTATCTCCTCATGTGTTATTTTGAAAACTTCTGACACACCAGGATTTACAGAAAAGTAATGAATTATAAGCGGATGTTTCAGCAGAGGACCCAATTCCAGCTTTTCAAACTGCTCAATACCCTCATTCTTGCATATGGCAACTTCCAAATCATACAATGTGATAACTCTTAGAACAGCGACAAAGCAGTGGATGAAAGCAACAATCTAGGGAAGAAGAGATCGGGAGATGAATTTTAGTATTCCAGTGAATATCTCAAATGGAGACAAAAAAAAAGGCAAATAAATCATCCAACAATAAATTTAATTAACAGCAATGCAACAAATACAAAATGGCACTAATGATTGATGACTCCCACCACTTCACTCCAATTTCAAATTGCTTTGAGAAGATTGATTCATTAACCTCTTCCCTTCAACTTGAAAATAATGCACCCCACCCCTCATTTGAAGGGCTGTAGGTGGAAATAGAATGTTGCTCAAGGGGTCAAATGGCACATCAACAGATGTAAAAGACCAAAAACAGTGCATATAGTTTTCTTTTTAAGAGAAAGGGGTAAGTTAAGGCCAAAACAAGGCCATAATAGTTGTACAACATCCAAAAGCAGATGAACTGAGGCTAGCCTCCAAAACACAAACTGAAAAAAGGAAGAAGAAGGTGGGGGATCAAATCAAAAGGAAGCACAGGGTAAAATAACTGCATTTGAATGATATTCATAACAATCCTGCTGGTCTGAAAAATCAAAGAACCACATGGTAAACTCATTTGGCAATAATTTTTTCAAATGAAAGAAGAAAAACAGATACAGAAAGCGTTACAATGCTTACTCAAATAAGTGTACATGAAAGTTGAAACTGAATGCTAAATCATGTGAGAACATTTTATATTGCTTATTAAATCTTGAGGAAAAAACATAGAAGTAGCTCAACGAGGTTAGCAAATTTATTTTTTTGTTATATGCTAAGCTGATAAACTCTGCTTGAGTGAGCTTACTCATATTGCCTATCTCAAACCCACAAATGTAAAACTCATTGATGATGAATTCTCACATTACAAAATTTAGTTTTTGAATTAACATCATTCAAATTAGCAAATGGATAGTAGGAATTCAAACCATTCAACACTAACAAGCTTGAGATTGAGACGTTGTTGTATATACTAAGTTGATACATTTGCTGCCAAATGTCAAAGAAATAACCATACGACAGATTAACGTTCATTGTAGTCTAAAACATTTTTCTTTTGAAAAAGTAATAAAATTTCATTAATGATGGGCACAAATACTGATATACAAGAAGTATACCAAAAGGTAGATAAACCTCACAAAGATGTACTCCCTCAGTCCCTAAATAAGTCACTTAAGCAAAAAGAAATTGTTCTAAAATAAGTGTCAACCTTAAGAATTCAAGACAAAAATTAGTATCTTTTTCCAATTATACTTCTATATTAAGAAACTACTTCTTTAGTGCTCAATTATATAGGTTGCTCAGTGAATTATACCTTTTTTTTTAATGGGCGTGAAATGAGCTAAAGTGACTTATTTTGCGATTAGAGCACGGAGATGTACCTTCCCTTCGATAAGTATGAGGCTATGGAGAGAGGGTACATTCTGCATTTTGACACCTAAAGACTCCCAGGAATCAGCTTTAACTATAGCCAATGCAGCTTGAGAAACTTTCCAAGTAGATACATTTTCACCAGCCTCTACAAGGTCTCGCCGCGCCTTCTTTACAGCTCTATCAATTTTGAGAACAATCTCACCAGAATTGGAGGAACTCTTAGCCTGAGGTGGTGGCGGAGAAGGAGGAGGCCGCTGGAATTGGAACCTGGGTTTCGTTTGAACCGGAAAACCCCGAAAGTTAGGATTTTGAACCGGGAAATAAGGGTTATTTGATGGATGGAACAAATTTGGAGATTGAGGATGATGATTAACATGAGGGTTTTGGTACCCTAGTGGTGGTGGTGGTGGTGGCGCCGCCCAGTTCCAGCCGCTGCCTCTGCCGTACAACGGTGGTTCTGCACCACGCCAGCTGCTGCCTCCGCCATTGTACGGTGGTTCTGCTCGAGGCCAACCGTTGAACGGTGGTTGTGCTCCGTGCCAGCCGCCGCCGTTGTACGGTGGCCGTCCGTACATTATAGAAAAGGGTTTAAGAATATCTCTGACATACAAAATTGAGAACTAATGATTTGTTGACTAATTTGACTGTAGACATAAGTAAATGAGAGTGGACCTTTTATACTGACAAACGGGCTTTGCCTATGTAGCAATGTCTGTTCTGTCCGGCATAAGTGCGCTTTAGCTCATTTTACGTTCATTAAAAAAAAAAATACCTAGAAGATATACTTTATTATTATTGGTATAATATATTATAAATATAATAAATTATAGTTGAAAATAAAATAATAAAAATGTATAAATAAAACTTTAGGATGAGACGCGGATATCTTGCTCTTTTTAAGGAGATTCAAGTTCACGGCGGCATATTCTGATCCAGCAATATATCTCTTGACTTGTCCCCTCGAAAATACAACAGTCCAACAACATCGTACAACTCAAGCAACTTCGAATTAGTTGAAAAGTCCAAAACTCCACAACAAAAACACCTTCCTTCAACCTATAATTACTCTCTTTTTATATAGCGAATATAGTTGAAAACTTAGAATATTTCCTTTGTCTCAACCTTTTTTTTTTTTCATTACTACCCACTACAATATTTTTCACTCTTGACATTTTTCTTGGGATGCTTCACAAAGAAAGAAACAACACTATTTATGGGTGAAGAAGTCTCCACATCAATGGATAGAATGAGGGGTATAATGTAGGTAGACAAATGTGGTAGATATTACTAGAAATGGCAAACGAGCGAGTCCAGTATGAGTCGATAAAAAATGAGTTAAATAAAAATGGGTTAAACACTCGACTCAACTCATATTTTTAAATGAATAAAAACAAGTTACATAATAAATAAAGAGGATATCCATATTATTATAGAAATCATGTTTAAAGCTTCAAAAACAAAATCTCTTACCCCACTCTTCACTCCCCCCCCCCCTCCCCGCACCCAAAACACAAAACACAAAATAAAAATACTTAAAACTTTAAATTTAACTTGCCCACCCCCAACTCCAACACCTCAAAATTAATTTTTCTTTTACTACTCCGATGCCCCCTTCCCCCCCACCCCCAACCCCAACTCCCTCAAAAAATATTTTTTCTTTTAGTACTCTGACCCCTCCCCCAATCCCCCCAACACCTCCAACATTAAATTTATTTTTTTATTTATTTTTCTTTTTTATAAAACTACTTCGATACCTCCTCCCACCCTTATCAGCCTCAGCCCCCTCCCCTCAGCCCTTTCCCAAAAAAAATTGTTTTTAAAAAAATCATTTTTTTTCCTTATGCCACCAATCCCTACCTCGACGACCACCTATACCTTAAAAAAATATTAATGTCATTTTTCTTTCTTTTAAACCATAGTCTTTGTTACCGTTTAGAAGGTCTTTAAAGTTAATACAATGTCTTTTTAAATTTAATTATTTGATAATCTAATATGCTTGAGCTTGAAATGTCCAAAAGACACCTCAAAGAATTGAAGATAGTCTTACGAAGCCAATTTTAAAATATGATGAATTAGTTTATCACCCAAATGTACATCTTAAAAAGTTTCACGACTTGTGTATCGTGAGAGCTAACTGAAGTTTACCAAGCTGACAGAGGCTGACTGGGTTTTTGTATACTGTCACCATTGCTGTATTATCAGGTGATAACACAACATGGGCAAGGCTAAAAGATTCACCTTTCTCAACTGCAAACTGCCATTCTCTCGAGGTAATATGAAACCAATCCTTTCCTGTTGCTGTAGTGGCCTTTACTTCTATGTATTCATCATCTCCCACAACAAGGTCGTAGGGAAGCCCCGTCTCATTAGTTTCATTGACCCATTTCACAAAAGGCTCACCATGTTTCCCCACAAAGTACTTGAAAGCAACAAATTCTCCGAGTCTGCCAGTTAACAATGCCTGTTGAGGGTCAGTTGTGCCTACATACAGATGATCTCTTTGTGCCACATCTGCTGAAGTATAATTCAAGTCATGTGGTATAGTCATGGAATGAGGAGGATCAAATGTCATTTTCACAGTAGCTTCAGCTGATGCTCGATCATTCTCCACGTTAGTGATGATCTCAGTTGGAGCCTGTGCAAATATTTTGATACCACTGGCTGCCCGTGACTTTGCTGCACTACCAGGAGCAGTTTTCCAGTCTGAAGGGGGCCAGTTTGAGCTGATTCCTGATCTCTTCTGGAAATTCACAGGGGTTTTCCCATCAACTGTTCTATAAGAACTCATCAGCCCTATCTCATCATCTTTGGACAATGGAACATTTGCAAGTGACCAAACAGATTCACCAGCAGGAAGCTTAGCCATTTTTTGGCTATTCATAATGAAAAACTCAGTTTGCTCCTCAGTGGAACCTGATTCTGCCATAGTGGTGATCATGTGAAGAAAGTTTGCCAAGTGCAAGTCGGGAGTTCCAAAAGAGAATAAACGAGAAAGTTCCATGAATATAGAGTGAGAATCTGATTCTCGAGTCGCATACAAGATTTTTCCCTGTCACAGGGTAAAAAGCAAATTATGTACACATTTTTCTGTTTCAATAAGGAACAAAATTTCACTATGTCGGTTAGAGTTACAAGTAGACTATACAAGAAAAATACCTACTACGGCATGTCCTGTAAGTTTTCGAAATATCAAAAAGGAAGAACAACAAGAAAAAGACAGCGGATACGTAAGTCAAGAATTAAAAGTCTCCGCAATATAGCCATAAGTTTTAGGGCCTTGTACTACACAGAAAACGGTCTTACATTTGACCCTTAGATGAGGTAAGCCTTTTTTATAAACAGTTCAAAGTAAATTTAAATAGAATAAAAGGTTTTCCAGAAGCACCTAAAGCATGTAATATTATACAGATACAAGAACCAATAGATGCTGCTGTGATTAGAATACCTCTAGCAGAGAACTGCATTCAAACCGCTTTTTGGACGCAATATGGGAACTTTTAATAACATTCTTGTAGAACAGCTTTTCTACAACAACAATCTGCAGATATTTCAGGTTCTCAAATCCAGACTGGCTAAGTAGCAAATACTTGTCTGGATGACTGCTATATATATAGCGTTGAGCAAACGGAAGAGTCCAATTAACCACGGAAGCTACAAAACTAGAGTCAGTTGGACCATAATATATAGCTTCACGTGTTACAACCTGTGAAAAAGCAAATTATTAGATATCTAAAGTTATGGGCCATAATCTATGGTCGAACTGGACAAAAGATAAGACCTGCTGAAAAAAAAAACAGATTTTAAAGGAGCTTGAAGAAATGGAGCAGATTCATTAATCAGACTATAAAAATTGCTGACAAGGGAGTTAGAAGTGATAGTTAAAGCTGAGGAAATACCGTGAGAGGAAAAATCAAGGCTTTGTCGATTTAGCAAGTGGACAAAAATACATGACTTCTCCATAAATGCAAATGCAAACAAAAGATAAAATTTTATTGACAAATGAAGTGAATGGCTGAGTCTCTGCAAACAAGGAGATAAAAGAGCATATCCTGGACTTCTACCAGAAATTAGCTTACCTCTGATAGAGAAGGAATATTCAATTTGCGCAAGAATATTGAAACTTTTGTTTTGAGAATCTCCTTTTCCTCGTCATTGAGTTTCCCAAAGTAGAGAAACTTAATATCATCAAAATACTTAAATTCCTTCCTCAACTTATCATCATCACACCAACAGATGAGCCCAAAGGATGGGTTCAGAGATACCCATATATCTTCTGCAGTTGGAAGAACTAGATATTCCTTTGTCAAAAGACCTTGCTTCAAGAAATCTATATCTTCAGATCTCAAAGATCCTGAATTTAGCTCGTCAACCCACTTAAGAAATATTTGGAAGACCTGAAAACATGTATCAAATCCATTCTAAAGCTAAGATATTAATCAGAACATGGTTTCATTAGCATCAGAATCCTTCATCAACTATTACAGTGAAAGTTTTAGCAGAAAGATAGCTTACATTCTTAGCTGCTTGTGAAGGTAAAGCAGTAGACGACAACTGCAGCAATATTTGAAGGTATCCATGGAAATGAGGAAACTCATCCACTCCACATTCTTTCACAAAAAAATCATGAAGGGATGGATAAACACTACATAGCATTTTAGTGAAAGGGTGCTGAACTGAATGTGTATCATATTCTGGGCAGACAATCTTCACTTGGTCTGTGGAACCAGTTAAATCACGCCAGAAGACTTCTTTCGATGACAAAAGAACACCAGGTGCTACTTCTTCATGTGAAGCAACCAACTTACAAGGGACAAACACAAAAGGTTCATTACGTAATTCTTCAATAACCTTCTTCTCTGAAGTGTTCATCCTACTCCAGATGAAAGTGTAGAATTTTGACATTTGTGATAAACTGAAAAAGTAGGCAATGGATGAGTATGAAGCATTAGAATAATGATAAGACATTGGAGCTCATAACGAAGGAAATGCTGACACTTCAAAAAGTTTCTACTTCTTAGGATGTTAAAGATACCACAAGGGGACATGTAAATGGCTAGGCAGTACCTGACAATTATTGAGTTGGATCATTTTGTCAAGTTTATTTGAAAACAGTTCTTAATCTATTTCTAAATTATAACCAGTCATGATGGGGAAAAGGCATAAACATGGCTCTAGCAAAGCAACTATCTTAACAACTTTTACTAGTCATTAATGTCCAAAACAAAAATATTATACAACAAAAACATCAAAAAACTAGTTATCGCTCTTTCAACAGTCTTTGTGCTAAGGGCTTTCTATTATATATGAAGTTGTTACCTTCTCAAAAATAAATAAATTATGTGAGTAATTGATGGACCGTGGTTAACTTGAGCATTAATTAATTCTTAATTTTAACCACAGAAAAGGAACTGCCGAAACCATAAACATCTTTTTCTTCAGATAAATGAAAAAATTAACCAATTTATAAATGAAGAAATTAACCATCTAGCTATTTTCGCACATGTCTGCAGAAGGAAGATCAATTACCTAGCGCTCACAGGTAGTTTAGCTCTCCAAACTTTAAGAATCGCTAAAG